CTTTATCCACAGTATGACATCAGGCTCGAGCCGTGGCCGACTCTGCCCAGACCTCACTGAGATCCAAACTCCATGTAAACAAACACACAGGATTTTACTCATATGTGCGGCAGTGGCTTTGACAGGCAGCAGGATTTGCTCGGCAGCTCAGCCCACAAACACTACGTAGTTTAGTCTCTCGACAAGGTTGAATTTTAGTTTCAGCGCCCGGAAAATATGACGATGATCAATCACCAACTGGGGCTGACGTATGTACATACAGTACAGGGTACAGGGGACGGGAGAAATATTACTGTACATGGATGAGTGAAGTTTGACCTGCGGCGAGCACTGTACGGTACATATTTCCTGCTACTTGTAAAACGTGTAAGCTATACTATACACGATACTTCAATTTAGATGCATCTCGCAAGAATGCAGTGCCTAGTACCTATACGCACTGGCTGTGCCTTTAGAGGATACAGTTGGGGCAGGTCGGAGCCGAGGGCCCAGGTCGTGGCTTCCTTATGCGGAAGTTCAAGGTGGCTGGGATTTACCAGATACCCGCTGTGACGCACGTCAAAAATACGGGCTGTAGGTGAGCTATGGGCGGGAAGGTATTTTACCGTAACCTGCTGAGAAGCCAAGAAACGAATGGGACTAGCCGCTCCTAGTAGCCAATCAAGGAGCTGAAAGACATGCCCCAGCCTTCAGCCCCTTGCTCCCAGCCACCGGACTTTGCATCCGCCCCACCACTGTCATCCAATGACTGCATGCACTCTTATCGATAGCAGGGCCCTACGACTCAAAGAATAACATCATCCACTCGACGGACTTTCATTCCACTGCTTCTGACTCTCTCTCATTCCCACCCACCCACCCACCATCCATCCATCCATCGCTGTTTGTATGTCTCTCTCTCTTCCTCTCTCTCCCTCTCTCTCTTCTCTTCTCTTTATTTCATTCTATCCTTGCAACCACTCATTCTCCAGTTTTGCTGACTAGTACAATCCAAGCTTTGACACTCTCCACTGTGATACATTCGTTCTGCTATACCTAGCGCTTATCCCCACTCTCGTTACTCGACATCCTCTCGCTTCTCTTGTTAGGCTCATCATCAAAACCGAACTCTCTCGTCTCTCGCTTTCTCTCCATAGTTTGACTTATTCCTCCTCACTACCAACTCCAGCCATGGACGCCAGGCCATCCAGAAGGGCCATGGCTCATGCTGCTGGCATCTTCGCAGACATGTCTGTCGACGGTCCCGCTATTGGGACACTAGTGATTATTGTTGATCGCGCCAAAAACCTGCCTAATCGAAAGACGATGGGCAAGCAAAACCCCTATTGTGCCGCTCGTCTGGGCAAAGAAGCCAAGAAGACAGAGACGGATCTTCGCGGTGGCCAAACTCCTCGATGGTAGGCTCTTCTTTTACACAATATCAAGCACGGTACTAACAGCTAGCAGGGATCAGGAGCTTCGCTTCACCGTTCACGAGTCTCCGGACTACTTTAAGCTCAAGGTCTCCGTTTTCAACGACGACAAGAAGACCGATTTAATCGGCGAAACCTGGATCGATCTCAAAGATTTGATCATCCCTGGTGGAAGCCAAAACGACCACTGGCACCCTCTGCAGCATCGTGGAAAATACGCAGGGGAAGTGCGTCTTGAGATGACTTATTATGACACACGGCCTGAGGATGAGGCTGTCATCGAACGCCGAACCATGGGGACTGAAAAGGTTCACACTAGGAAGAGTGTGCCCTCAGCACCACCAATCACTCTCACTGCGGCCTCGTCCTCTTCCTCGTCCGCTCTTTCGGGGCCTAGACAGTTGAAGGATGTCAAGAGACGTCCTCTGCCCAGCGATCCAACTAGAACACGCCCTTCTCAACCTGAAAAGGTGCCATCAGCCCCAATACCACATGCTCCAGTTCGACCAGCATACCATGAGCCCGCCCAGTCGGCGCCCGCCATGGCGAGCCATGAACGGCCAACGCACCTTCACGGTCACCCTGAATGGGTGTATGAAGAGACCCCTCGACCGGCATACTACGAGCCCCCCCACCTTCACAGTCATCAAGAATGGACCGATGACGGCCCACTTAATCAAATGCCCCAGAGGGAGAAGAACAGCTATCCATTCTCTTCTTGTGAACAATATGTGAGCAATATGCCGCATACTCAGCCTAGCCCCTATGGGAGTCAAACCTCTTCGAGCACGACGAGCACCTCCGATGGTGGAAGTACGGTCTATCCCTGCTCTCACCACAGTCTTTTCTCGAGCGAGCCAAGCACGGTATATCCTTATCCACCCAACTACTCTGACAGCGGGTCTTATGTCAGCTGCAGCGAGTCCATCGATAGTGGCCCGTCGATGGTGTATTGCTCAAAGTCGATCAGTGAAGGGGGGCGTCCTATCCCTGATCTTGTGTGGGCAAGATTGCAGCCTCGGGTCGAGGATGAAAATGACGAGAACAATCTCCCACCGCCACCACCGGCCCATCGAGTTGCCTTGGTCCACGTCAGGAACATAAGGCCTCCCTCGCTTGTCTCCACCGAATCTGCATCATCAGGACACTATCCTGTGTCTGATGGCCTTCCTTCTAATTACACCTCGGTCACAACTGCAGTTGACAGCAGCAGCATGCCGAGTGTGCGTTCTTCCTTGAGTGGTCCCTCAGTGCCACCCAGTCTTGTTGCTGGCCTCGACCCAGTCATTGCCGACGCAGAGTCGGATCGTGTCACTTATGAAAGGCAAGCACGACGCAGAAGTGGCATCATAGAAGAGAATCCGTTGAGGAAGCCCCCACGTGAATCTTCACCGAGCCCTCCTTACCCCATGGATCCGTCCTTGGATAGTCACAGTTCTATTGTGACTCGATCGTCTGTCAGCTCCAACTCTGATAGACAATTGGTCCCCCGTCGCAAATCTGTCAGCCCTCGACCTCCAAGTATGAGGGAGCGCGGGGTGTCTCCCACTCCTTTCTCACCGGATTCCTACGATGCTTTGAACCCCAACGCATCCATGGGCCCAATAATTGGAGACGATGGTCGTGAAATTGACCCGTCTGATCACCTTCCTACGGACACCTGGGCACCTGAGCCCGAACGCAAGACGAAGAAGCCTGGCGTCGTCGTGCGCTTTCGCAACCCTGCTCATCGGGCTAACCCCCTCGCACGACCAACAAACGATGGCACAGTTGAACGTGCTGCTCATCGGGCTAATCCTCTCGCACGACCAACTACCGATGGCATAGTCGAACGTGCTGCTCATCGGGCTAATCCCCTCGCACGACCAACTACCGATGGCACAGTCGAACGTGGATTTGGCATTCGACGTCCGCCGGCATACACGGATGGAGCCCCCAACATGGGTCCACCTATTCCTTCGAAGGTTCCTATCGCACAGGCGATGAACCAGAACTACCCTGTCCTTGGCGGCAGTATGGGCATGGACGCCCTTAGTCGAGAATTGAACACTATCGACATCGGATCTGTGGGTTGCAGCGGCGGCGGCCGCAGCTTGAAGAAGTACGCACCCAAGACCATGGGTTATGCAGTTTAGAATAGATCTTTTCTTCTTACAACTGGTTGATGTTAGTTGGTGAGTCAGTTTGTTACTTAGTCACTTAGTTAGCTACCTGCGGGATACATCATTGGGGCATGTGTTTTATGGGATTCGGTTTGGGAACTGGGAACTGGGGACTCTGGATTTTGGAGTTGAGAGTTTATTCTTCCTTTGTTTAGCATAGATTCATCTTTCCAATCAAGGAAATAGGTTTGATACAATTCATTGTGCAGGTCCGGGCTTAAAACGCTGGGTAGTGTGAATAATCTAGACTCCATGGACCTCTGCAATTGAAGTGGGAATGTTGGTAGTTAGTGAAGTGAAGTAACAGGCTTACACACTATAGTGGGTTGGGGTGAAGGAGATGATAGCTTTGTGGGTGAATAGACTTGACTGATCGATTCCATACCTTCCTCCCCCGGCTGCCTCGTACCGATGCTTCTCTGTCTTCCCTCCAAAGCTCCAAAATACCACTCCCTCCCACACCGCATTTGTAAATTGAACCACACATGCTTCACAAAGCCTCGATAGAAATGAGAGACCTTTTGCCCTCCGAGGCATAGAGCGATTGGGCGCGGCCACCTCTCATTCCACATGAATCGGTCTCAGAAGACGGTAGCCTCAGGCAGCTACACTGTGCCTTCCGATCAATCTTGATTTTCTTCAATTCTCCACAACACCAAGAGATCGAAATTCTCCTTTCTTATAGCCAACCTAAGCAGCTTCAAAATCACAGATAGACTATGAAACTCAACCTTGCAGGCTCTAGGACATCTGCCACTTCCTATTTCATTGATTTTGAAGCGACCCAGATGCTTATCCAAGCGGGAAATCAAAACCCGATGCCACCAACCAAGCCAGCGTGTATCCTCGCTGTTCTTATCCAACCATTCTGCTCAAGGTATCTCGTTCTGCACCTGAGAAGACTCACGAACTTTATTCAGTACTTGAAAAGTATGTGATCACGAACCGCTAACAAGCACAACACATAGTGCAGTCCTTTACGAGCCTCCCCACTCCCAGCAATTTGGTTGAGCACGAGTTAGCACGGGCTGAGTGACTAAAATCTTAACAGCAGTCTCGAAGAACTTAGGGCTAAGCAGCCAAGCCTCATTCGGGAGAATCAATAAGTCTTCTTGGCACCATTGGCGATGATGAATCTCTTCGAGTCGGGCACTACCGAGGAGCCCACATGTGGAGGCCCGCAATTCCGGGCTGGAATGTTGGCCGCCGTGATGACATCGCCGATCTTCAATCACCCACAATGGCGATGTGTCTATCGCCCTAAAGGCTCGGTCTTCAAGAACAATGAGTAGAATGCAGACTTTCTCGGTCTAAGTCGATGAAAAATCCGCTATCGGTAGCGTTATCTTCACGGAGCTAAATCTCTGCTGCCTAGGAGGGAACTTACGTTCAGGCGGGGAATAGTGGGGACTGCCGAGCAAATACACTCGTGGATGCTGACGACTACTTAGTGACTAGACGATGCTTTCTACGCGCCAGTGCCGGAGTGATTCCAGGAAACCGGTCGATGGTTGGGAGCTGTTTAGAGTTACTGGGAAAAAAGGCTTATTTAGGTTGATCGCCAGTTTTTCTGGCTATCGAACTTCCTTCTGAAATGGTTGTCGTTTTTGCTGGTGTTTGATGCCCTAAGTTGGGATATTCATGCTCGATCAACGAGTGATAGACGCTGGACGTTCTCCGACCATGAAGAATCTGTGGTCTTTTACCGCCTGGCCGGGGTGCTTGCTGATTGTTCTTGCTATTGTTCACGGCACGCGAGCAATAGATATCGAAGTTAGCAGTGAGCGTATGTTTCGTTCCTTTTTCGATTCGTTCGACTTGATTGTTCTTGTTCAATATTCCAACAAGCAGGATTGCTAATCACTAGTCATTACAAAGAATCCATCAAAGATGCCGCCAGCACCGCCGCGTACGGGTTGATGTCCTACTACCATGGCAACGAGTCAGGCCACATACCAGGGAAGCTCGATGATACGTGGTGGGAGGGCGGTGCCATGTTCATGGCTCTCATTCTGTATTATCACTATACCAGTGATAGCACCTACAACAAGGAGGTGATCCAAGGAATGCAGTGGCAAGCAGGAGATTGCGATTATATGCCATCCAACTATAGCAGCTGGCTGGTAAGAAACTTTAATCTTCTTCCTCTACAATTTCGCTCAATAAGCCCAATCTGACAATAACTAGGGAAACGATGATCAGATGTTCTGGGGTCTGGCGGCGATGACGGCGGCGGAGCTCAACTTCCCCAACTCGGACGACGGATACTCGTGGCTGGCGCTGGCGCAGGGGGTTTTCAACACCCAAGTCGCGCGATGGGATACCACCTCGTGCGACGGGGGGATGCGGTGGCAGATGTGGTCCTACGAAAGCGGGTATACAATGAAGAACACGATCTCGAACGCGGGTCTATTTCAGCTCTCCGCGCGGCTGGCTCGCTACACCAGCAACCAGACGTACTATCAATGGGCGGAGAAGATCTGGGACTGGTCCGCGTCGACGCCGCTACTCAGCAACTCGACCTGGAACGTTGCCGACTCCACGGAGACGACCAACGACTGCAGCACCCAGGGCGACAACCAGTGGACCTACAACTACGGGGCCTTTCTTGGGGGCGCGGCGTACATGTACAACTACACCAACGGCACCAGCCGCAGCAAGTGGCAGACGGCCGTCAACGGCCTGCTGAACGTGACATTCGATACCTTCTTCCCGACCAAGTACGGCGGCAACGTCATGTCGGAGATCACCTGCGAGCCCACCGAGGTGTGCAACCGCGACGAGATCATCTTCAAAGGCCTTCTATCCAACTGGCTCGCCTTCACCGCCATGCTCGTGCCCTCGACCTACAGCCGCATACTGCCCAAGCTGCAGGGCTCCGCCGAGGGCGCCGCCGCGTCTTGCACGGGATACTCCAACAGCTCCTGCGGCGTCCGCTGGAACTCCACCTGGGACGGCTGGTCCGGCCTGGAGGAGCAGATGAGCGTCGTCAACGTCTTCGTCGCCGCCCTGCTGCCCTACATCAACTCCTCCGCCACCCCGCGCACCGCCTCCACCGGCGGCAATAGCACCAGCGACCCCTCCGCCGGCACATCCGACGACACCAACGACGAGGAGACCCTCAGCACTATCACGACGGGCGACCGCGTTGGCGCCGCCTTCGTGACGGTCATTCTGGTCGCCATGTCGGTCGGGAGTCTGGTGTGGATGATCATGCTGTGACGTGTGGATGCAGTGGTGGTGAGCGAGGATGATACCCTGTTTTACGTGTTTAGCAATAGCATGAAATTGTTCTTTCAAGCGAAGCGTTGCGAGAATTGATACCTGAGTACCCAGTAGCCAATAGGCCTTTCCTAGGATATCCGTCCGGTGACCCGGCAACCTTTTCTGGCCTTTCCCGGGACATAGAGCATCCACAGCAGGGCATGAAATGCTAATTTACTTACTATACAAACTGATAAACACGCTATATAAACGTTCCCAAGCCCTTCTCAAGCACATACGACCACAGGGTGTGGAAAATAGGGCTTCCCGTCCGCTCAGCCGTACTCAAGCCACACGCCGGGAGGTTAGTAGTTGGGTGGGTGACCACCAGCGAATCCCTTCTGTTGTATGTCGGTGCTCACCCGTCTCTTTTTGACTTGGTGGATAAGGCGTCATTGCCGCCTTATCTTCACCCCTATTCACCTCTCTTCAGTTCGTTCAGGGCGCGACCTCTCTAAACTGTACTTATTGCTCCCGCAGCCGACGTGGCCTCGTAGCACAGCCCCGTTGCCAAGAATTACCTCTTATTTAGATGTTGATCTCACTACTTTTTCTGTGCCAGTGCCAGCAACTTTTGGACTCCCGCAATGTACAAAGCGACGATTGGATAAATTCCAGCCTAGTCTTCAGCGAGCTGCCTGGCTATTTAATCTCTCCACCTACGCAAGCTAATTATGTATCTTAACTATAGGCACTGCAGTAGGGCGACTCTCGTCCCTATTCTCTTCAGCCCACCTTCCCGGCCCGGAGATCAAGGCTACGGCATTTCGTAGGAAGCGTGAGAGTTCACCCAAGCAAAGGACGGTAGAAACGCCCAGAAAGAAGAAGACAGTAAGTACTGCAGGGCGCAGGTACAACGGCGTGGTGTCATCCCCTGCACTACAGTGCCGTGCAAGTTTGGATTACGCAGTTCTAGACTCTTTCGCTCTTTATAGGCGCCACACCCGTAGACTAGCTTGAAGTGGGATTAGGCTGTTATTATGGCTTTCTTACGCAGTGTAAGATACAAGATGGTAGTGTAAGGTCAGAAATACTTGTTACATGTATACACCGGAATTCTAGACGATTCTATGCAAACCAGCCAAACATCCTTAGAGAGTTGTCTTGACTAGGGTAGCAACATGGTTTCTTCTTAATACTCCAATGATTGTGTCTGGATAAGTCTGCGGACCATACTCATAAGCTCTTTGTTCCACCAGTCAGAAGCTGTTACTCTCCATCTCAGCTCGGCGAGGCGTTTATAAACATAATTTCTACAACTTTGTATTTCCTACTTTATTCTGCAGCTGCAGCTCCTGCCCCACGCTGGTCTTGATCGACGTTCCCGCTGAAAACTACAGCAATCATTTCAATGCGACTGGTTCTAGGTACAACGTATTGAAGAACAGTAGAATGCTAATACTGTATGGCTTTAATAGTAATCCATGTTTCGGAACTTACCAATCGATTTTTTTTGAGCTAGAAGTGCGGATCATGACCAGCACCGGCCAACAGACCCGGTCGGGATGCGTCGAAGATATGGATGATGCTTTGATCCAGCACAACCAATACGGGATACAACCACAACGTAGTAACCATGAACTTATGGACCTCCCTTCTTCATTCTCAACTCGGCTCAATCGCTCCGAAAAGAGTTCCCAATCCCAGTGAGAATCAAGAATCTCTTGTCCTCTCTCCCACCCTTCTTCGCTTCATCCTCTACCTACTTAGTCTTGACCTCCACTCATTTTATTCTTGCAAACCATCATTTTGTATAAGGCAATCGTCCCGATTATATTTGGGCTATCTGCTCTTTTTTCTTCAGCCCTTGCAGATCCCACCTGCCTCTCTCCCTCGACTCCGGGGGTAATAGCCAACAAGAACGCCTGCTGCCCAGGCACCAGCAGCCAGGGGGAGGACCCGGTCGACGGCATTATCTACGAATACAAGTGTGGCGCCTATGCAAAGGAAGCCTACTTATCGGGGGGAATTGCCTCCAGCGCCCTGGACTGTGCCCGGCAGTGTGCTGTACAAGCAACCGCCAGTTAATCCTGCCACGCTGCCAACTTGGGCCCGCTCAACGGCGAATGTCATCTGTATAGTGCCGGATTTGAGCAGAAAGCCGATACCTCAGGCGAATGGATACTTCTGGTCGTGTTGACAACGATTTGCCGGGAGGGTATTACCCACTCAGTAGTACTCAGTAGTTAGTACTGAGTAGTATATGTACCACTTTTTTTATAGTTCTGTGTTTGTAATGTTTGTTTTAATAGAAGTTAATTAATTTATTTTCTTTATTAATCTATCTGTTATACCTGACCTTTCTATCCTGCAGTTCAAAACAGTTAATGACTGTTAAGGAAATCTCTTAATCTTAACCTGACCGCCGGTTAACGGTCAGGTTTCAGTTGAGGTATGACGGTCAGGTATAGCCACTCTAGAAGTACCTGTATAGCTAACATCCCAATTAGCGAGCTTGATCAGATATAATAGTATTTGAATTGAATTGAATTCTATCACAGCGACGACGCGGTAACCACTAGTCAACGTGGAGGTGGACACCAATAGGAGCCATCCTTTTCAATGATCTCAAGGTTCTATTGACAACAGACTGTAATATTCTCGAGAGAGGTCTCATGGACTCCATACATGTTCAATTCATAGACTGTATACAACCCCCCCCCCCCCCCCCACCCAAAACAAAACGCGAATTTCAAAGCTAAATCAATTTCAGTCTCCCTCCTGGGGCTCCAAGCCCACATACTCCTTCGCCAAGTCCCCCCGGAAACCCTCCATCACCTTGCCATTCACCACCACTTCCTTGCAGTCCAGCAATACCCAGAGCATCCGCCCGGGCATGGTTCCATTACCCGTAATGTTGTGCCACTTGTGGGCGGTCGCTCGCTCGCTGGACACTTATGTCGCCCTGGCGCATAATGCGCTCCTCCCCGGAGTCGAGGATCAGCTTGAACTCGCCCTCAACAACGATGCCATAGTCGATTGACACAGCCCGGTGCAGGGGAGACTCGACATTCGGCGCGAAGTCGATCATACGGACGACGGAGCCGTTGTGAATATGCAGGCCAGGCTAAACATTTGCGTCAGTCACGTTGTGGAGAAAAAGTAGGAAATTCATAGAGTGAGGCATGCCTCCGTCTCAGCCGCATATTTGAGGTCGGCTTCGTCGTTCAAGTCGACAGGGGTCTCCTTGGTCGAATAGAGGATGTTGGCAACCGCCTGCTGCTCGCCCATGACTCGGTGGTGCGCCCCGCAGTCGGTGCTGAGGAAGACAGACTGGCCATCCAAGTTGTGGCCGGTGATGTGGCGGACAGTTTTCCGCAAGCCGGGTGCGGGGAAGCCGTTTAAGACATAGCCTGCGCCTACAGGAGGCTCCGCGGGAAAGCCAGATGCCATGGAGTCTCAAGGAGAGCAGTGATGGGGGGATGGATGGAATAGATTGCTCGCAGTTTGTTTGACCGGAGGTAACAGATAACTATACAGATACTTCTACCAAAACATGTGCACCTGTAGCTTTTAAAGCTGAAGGCTTTCACAAAACCACTACCCATCTAGATTCACAAAAATCTCGGTCTGCCTTACTCGCTGACAGACGATCTGTGATACCTTAGCTTGACAGTAAGGGAACTTATGTCATGTAGGGCTGGCCGTCATCACTAACCTTGACAAGTGAGACATCGAGGTGTCATGTTGTCGAAAATAATGAGCATTTCGGATGGCATGACAAATAGTCACACCCGATGATGTCAGCTGACTGCAGCTGAAGCAACATAAGGTCATCCTGTGCCTGAATTGATTTTTCTTCACCTGCCTGTCTGCATGGAACTGTCAGCTTACATGTAGTAGTGTGAAATGTTCTACTCAGACTTACTTGAGTTTCTACTGAAAAAGGAGTTAAGTAAGGATTGTGCTAACATCAGGTCTATTAGATTAATGTTTTATCTCCTGCTTTAAAATCCTGCAAGTTTAATTGATATAGAAAGTAATAATTATTAATAAGTTTGATAAATATCTATTCTACGAACTAGAAACTTGTTTTTTTTTTTCAACTTTCCAATTCATTTGGTTTTTGTATACCTACTCACCGGTCCATCCCTATAAGCTGACATGTTGAAATCACCTGAACCCAATATCACCTCCACAGCGAAGATATGTAGAAATAACCAGCGACTTTATCAACAATAGCCCTAAGACAGGCTTAAGGCATCCCCTCTTCTGGGAATGATAACTCCAAGGTAGGCTGTGCCGGAGCATAAGCTTAAAGTACTAGTCGGTTTTAAGGAGCACCTCCTTAAGCATTTGTAGCTTGGTAGAGCAAACCAAGCTCCCTGGGGTTGTTAGGCAACGAAGTGCATCTGCCAGATAAGTGGCAAAGAACTAGGAAAACAAGTGCATTAGACGTATGAAACTGTTTAACAGCATGATGGAATATAGAGAATCAGACCAATTGTCTAAATAAAGAAGTGTCCTTACCTGCTCGCTGACTGACTAAAGGATTGACCATTTGTCGGGCTGACAGTGTGACACCCCAATCAAATCCTTCCTATTGGGGTGACATGTCAGCATAATGTAACAATTCTCTTGTGTTCTCCTGAAAGGTCGAGGTGCCTGATAGCGAGGATGACCATTACGGGTCAGCGCCGGAGCCCGGAGCAGCGGCACTGACTATCCGTCTTCAAAGAATCGAGCATCTGAACATGGCGGGATAAAACCCGAACAATACAACATCTGAAAACGATTGTAGGCTCAGCCAAAGTTTATAAGGTCCGTCTAGGAACAGATCAGCCGGGGATAACACGCAATCGACATCGACAGAGTTGAGCCCCAATGAGTCACTTACTCAACATGCGGTACTCGGGATTTCTGACCCTTATGTCTTTCTGGCTTGCAGAGGACAGTCAGGCATCAGCGGCGATGTCAACGACGAATCTGCTGTCCATCCTCAGCCGTGGAAACTGGTCGACTGGTACTGTGTTGTCCGCTCCAGGGTCCACCGACTTCACCGATGCCACTGCCCGATGGGATGTGTACCGGCCTCCGAACTATGCCGCGGCGCTGTCCATTCACTCTGAACAAGACCTGATCACAGCGGTGAGTGAAGTTCGATTGCAGCCATCAAGCTAGATGGAGACTCACTCAGCGGAGCTAGGTGAAATTGTCGACAGCCAACAACATCTCGTTCCTGGCCACCGGGGGCCGTCACGGCTATAGCATTACGTTTGGGAATCTCCAAAATGGCCTGGCCTTGGACTTGAGCCCGCTAGACACGGTGGCAGTTGACGCCGCTGCCGGCACCTTGACCATCGGGCCTGGTGTGACTTTCGGCGACGTTATGGACCCCGTCTACGAGGCGGGGTATCAGATCCGTGAGTCTCGTCCCATTATATCCAGGAATGAGGCGTAGCTCTTACTGACCGACCCTGGCACAGAGACCGGCACTTGCACATGTGTCGGGATGATCGGCGCCACCATCGGGGGCGGCATCGGGCGGTTGCAGGGGACGTACGGCCTGGTAATCGATGGGCTGCTGTCTGCCCGGGTAGTCACCGCCGCTGGTGAGGTCCTCGAGGTCTCGGAAAACTCCAATGCCGACCTGTTCTGGGGCATTCGCGGCGCTGGGGCTAACCTGGGTATTCTCACGACGGCCACCTATCAACTTCATCCTTTGACCGGCAACTACACCAGCATCGATCTAATCTTTCCTGCCAGCCGGAACGTGACCTACTTCACTGCCTTGGAGAACTTCAACATCTCCGCGCACTGGGCTATCGAGACAGAGATCCTCTACAACGCCGACATCAACGGTGTGAGTTCATCCCCTCCTCCCTCCTGGGAGAGGATTTTGCAGTCCCATAATCATCAGATCCTGGACTGGCTAACCATCCGCACACGTCCCTTCAGCCCGAGATTATCGCCAGTTACGTGTACGAAGGGGATCAGAAGGAGGCCCTGGAGCTCCTGGCGCCAATACTCGACGTCGGCCCCTCGTTCATCAACGTGACTGAGGTCCCGTGGAATGAACTGAGCGCGATCGCCGCCTTTGCCACCGACGCCGAGGTCTGCGAGAACGGCAGCATTTACGACATCTACGGGGTCAACCTGCGTACGCTAACGGCTGCCACCTGGATTGAGGTCTTCGAGATGATGGTCAACTTCTGGGCGGCTTATACGGAGGGCCAGTCGTCCAGTGTCGTATTCGAGTCGTGGGCCAACGAGGCGGTGGTGGCCGTGGCCGACGAGAAGACCGCATATCCCTGGCGCGACACCACGACTTACGTGTAAGATAGCCTTCCCTCCCCCCAAGGTGCGCAGGAGAAACTTGACCGCTAACTGTAGCATGATGCCTCCTGTAGTATGCTCCAGTTTGTTTGGAGTACGTCGGACAGCAGCGTCGAAGCTCCATCCATCGCCATGGCCCAGAAGGTCCGCGACACTCTCATCGAGACATCGGGGTACGACGACCTGGCGGTGTACGTTAATTATGCCAACGGGGACGAGGCGCTGGAGGAGATGTACGGGGCTCGGAAATTGCCTCGCCTGGCGGAGCTGAAGAAGAAGTACGATCCCAGCAATGTCTTCCGATATAGCAATCCTTTGCCCACCGCCTACTCGTGACCAGAGAAAAGAGGAGATCCGACCAGAGTAGGAGAGATGAATGACTGTACAAAGCGTTGTTGGAGTATATATGGATGTATGAATATAATTCAAGGACGAAGTACATTCAGATGGGAGTCCCCGGTTTTTGATCTATATCCACACGTCGAATCCGTACGGTTTCGTCGCTGCCTTGCATGCTTATACTCGTTGATCAGTTTAACGTTGGCACAACTTATTGCGTCTGCTTATGAGTTAGCACTCAAGGCAGCCCATGCCTGGCGACTGCACTTTGTTATCAAACTAATGACATATCAGGGTGTCAGTTGGTCTTCTCCGGACCTTTCCGGACTCGCAGAAATATTAACGGTCGAACTGGAGTACGATATTCTTGTTCTTTGCAGAACTGGATGATCCTCTTCATCATGTAGCCTAGCTGCAAGCAGTCTACGGATTTGCTTCTACACTTTAGGCCAAGAGAATTGCATTCACTTTATTACCCCACCGTTCTCATCCGCCAGCCGTCTATCGACTAGCCTGAGAGTTTGGCAACAACCGCCCCCCAAAGAAAATCTCCACTCGGGAACCTAGAACTGGGAGGACGAAGGGACGGGCGCTGAAGCTGGTGGTTTCCTGGGAAGATCAATATCGACAGTGCTGTCTAGCACGTTGGCCAGGAACTCGCTAATGCAGTTATTCGCTTCGGCCGGGTGGTGAATTAGCACCCAGTGCGAGGCGTCGGGGATAACCCTTGTCTGCAGGCCGGCGGGGAAGAAGGCGTCCTGGCCGTCGAGAAGACGGGGTGGCAGGGCGGGATCCTGGCCTGCCATGACGATCATGGCCGGGATCGCCAGCGCGAAGGTCGACTGCGCCTCCGCCAGATGCACTTCGTCCTCGCCGTTGAGGATGCGCGTGCGGTACCAGTTCATCGGGCCGTGCAGACCCGTCCGGGAATACTCTTAAACTGTGTCGTGTCAGTTGAGCTGGGCCAGTCACACTGGGGGAGGGAACAATGGCGGGTGAAGTCTCTACCATAAAAGTCCAGTATCTCCTCCTCCACCAACGGGGAGGGTCCGAACTGTGGCAGGCGCTCCGCGATCACGCCGACGCGGACGTCGAACCCCGGCTCGCCCCCGGATGTCACCCCACCGAACATGCTGCGCAGGAATCCACGGAGGTGGGCGGGCGACCTGGACGCGGCTGCCTCAGCATAGAGGCCCGCCAGCTGCAGCTGGTAGGCGAAGTCCGGAAACTGGCGGACGAACTGCTCCAGGGGGACCACGAAGGGCAGCGGCGGAAAGAAGGGGATGCAGAAGCTGACGAGACCGCGCACCAACTCGGGAAAGTAGAGGGCAATCCGCCACGCGAGGAAGGCTCCCTAGTTGTGGCCTACCAGAATCACTGGCGTGTCAGTCGTGGTTCGGATCAGCGCCGCGATGTGGCTGGCCATGCGCTTGAGAGTGTACGTCGACGGCGAAGAGGGGGCGGAGGTCCGCCCATAGCCCAGGAGATCAGGAATGAGAACTTGCTGGTTGAGTGACAGGAGGCAGGGCACCTGGTAGCGCCAGCCCATCCCAAGATCAGGCCTAGCGGAGAAAGACAATCCGAGTTAAACATGGGCCCAAGGGCAACTGCACTCATCGCACGCAGACGTACCAGCCGTGAAGAAGCAGAACAGTTGCGCTGGGCTTGGTCGGGGGGTTGGCCACCATATAGTGATATGTGATCCCCTCTTCGACGCAGAGTTTCTTGTGTTCCACGCGAGGATCGTTGGGGGCAAGAGCCTCGACGGTTATTGGAACTGGGTCGATGGATATGATCGGCTACCAATACTAGTAAGGATCGGGGATTCTTCTCAATTCAATAAAAAAGCAGTTCTGTTATGATTATAGGACGTTTTCCGAGCTGTTGAAGTTGTCGAGTGTTCTTAAATGTGAAAGAGAGACGAGTTTCTATGCTTGTCGGTCTGTACAGGACCGAACGGACTGATCGGAGATAATACAAAGGGCGAGCGAAGCATAATACCAGCGGCCGTCAGCTTACGCCTGCTAGCGCCATAAGCCCGTCCATGTGATAAAGATCTACCATTGCAAATCAATTTCAGTAAATTGCTATCTTCCTGCCAGATTGGTCCCCTGACCAATGGCGGCGATAATTCGCCGTGTAGGGTTAAGACCCAGGATGGCGGGAGGTCCCCCCACCCCAGCATCGAGATCCCCCACTTCGGATGAGTACGACTATATTTACAGTTTGGGCTGTCGAGTCCAGCGCACTGATCCTTGCCTCCCTTCGAATGGGATATATAGGAGGGTATGCCCGTGGCGGATGAGTAGCAGCGAAATAAGGAGCCCCCAGCCGAAGCGTTCGATGTCTACCCACGGGAGAATGTAGTGATCCCAGAACCAGGCCATCCACGAGACGGCCGTGACCTGGCGGATTATTGCGCGGCCGTTGCACCAAATCTGCTTCGCCTCGGCCTCGCGGGTCCGCTGGTACCGCCTGAAGGTGCCGTCGAGCAGCACTGTTGACGGATTCGTCGGGGAGGTCGCGAGCAGATGCTGCAGTTTGTTGGCTAGGGCCGCCGCTGAGTGTAGGCTATAGGTCAGCCCGAGGCCATTGACGCTGGTGCCCTTGTGGACGGCGTCCCCGACCAGCACGATGCGGTCGTGATGCCAACAGGTCAGGAATCCTTTCTTTTGGTTCAGCTTGCGAGCTGTGTTCTTGTCCGACCGACGCCAGATGTCGCCAAACTGGACCCCGGGGCAAACGGCAATGTCAGCCAGCAGAGCTGCGTGCGCCTCCATCTTTTGGAGGGTGGCTTGGTGCCCGCGCCGACCCGCGGCAGCAACAGGTAGCGGCGTCAGCGTTACGAAATGGACGGTTTCCCGCGTGGCCGTGCATTGGATTACTGATCCGGAGCCGCGCGACTCCAACAGCACTGCCTGCTCGATCCCAAGATCCTTATTAGAGGCCCGGCCGAAGATGCCGTGGAAGTGAGCCACCATCGGATCGATGTCCACGGCGGCCCCCGTGGCCCGCCTCAACAGGGTCTGCATCAGCGATCGGGTGCGATTGTGCACGCCGTCCGCCCCAATCACAATCGCTCCTCGAAGCACGGTTTGGTCATGCAGGTAGACGCGGACCCCGTTCGCGGTTGTCTGAATGTCCACCACCTCGGCTGAGGTCCGGACTCGGGTCTCCTTGTCCGGGAGATTGCCGTAGAGAATCCGCACCAAATCCGGGCGCAGGAGCGGAAGGAAAGCGTATCCGTGACTGGGAGAGAATCGATGCCTGGTTAGCTCTTCCGAGGCCAACAGCCCAAGGGATATCGTGATGATTGCCATGACCATGGGGCGTACTTCTCTTCCATAGACTCCCAGAAGTGGCTGTTTGTCATGACCCCGCCCGTGATGCCATCAATGCGCTTCTTAGCGTGCAGAGGGATGGCGACTTCCCTCAGTTGCTCGTGAACTCCGATCTGATCGAGCAGTCGAACCGTCTGGGGCCAGATGAAGATCAGATGGCCGTTCTTGTTCAGGACGGAGGCTTGCCGCTCCAAGAGGATGTAATCGATCTGAGCAAGCGCGAGGGTGTGGGCGAGGTAGAGCCCGACCGGGCCGCCGCCAATAATGATAACGCGAAAGCTCTTGTTATCCATGGGGTAAAGTGAGAGTAAGGGTGAGCCTGGTGCGAGGGAAGAGGGCTGTTGCGATTCGTCGGGACCGGCGTCTGCTATGAATCTTTATAAATTGCAACCTCTTCTAGGCCGCATCGTGCAGCGCAGTGTTATTGAATGGGTGACTGTGTTAGCTTTAGTACGTTCCCTCGACTAGCCAATCAATTAGGCAAGCCAGTCAATCAGCGTTGTATCAGACAAAGGGATTGCGTGCCTGACATGCACAATGAATCGAGGAAGATACTGCTGCGCATAAGCATGACAGGGATGCATAATGCTTACAGGCGTCATGGTGTGTCTACCATAGATTCCTAGAGTCAGCGATGACATGGAGGCTCAAAAAACATGGCGAAGCTGGTCGGGGTCGCTGAAATGCTAATAGCCCACTCTGACCCTCTACGCACTCTTATGTAGAGTCAGAAGAACACCGCTCAGTGTTTGTCCTCGCCCTCTTTTTTTGACAGCCACTAATTGCCGACCGCCCCTTTAGCTCTCCGGCCTGAGGCTAAGCAAGACACTAAAGTCTAAGCATCACCCAATATCACCCGATTTGTGGCCCCACACTATGCGGGTGACCTTATAGGCAGTTTTGGGAGCATCGGACCGAAGCATGGACTATAGAGTGGTGTCCTATTTCTACACCAATAATAATAATCTTGAAGCTTTGACCCCCTCACCCCCTGTAGTTTATAAGTGAGGTTGCATGCCAGCGCTGGTCTACAAATCAAGCGATTCTGAATGTGAGCGGCTTTATCTACAAAGACTGCACATGATTGGCTTCTTTTCCTCTTGATATGGAGTGCAAGGATCAGTAAGCGTATCCTTGTATATTATTTAAGTAGAAGCTGGAGTGAGATTTTAGTTCTCTAATCTCGCCACTCAAGAGAGAATGAATGGATTTATGGCTTTGTTGGGCTTCCGGGATATAAATATAGAGACCATATTATGAGATCGAAATCGAGAACCCCTGCTTCAAATACGCTTATAGCAGCAGCGACGACACGCTCTTTATGCACTAATCGCGAGCTAAAATGGTGGAGGAAAGTGTAATATCTTCGACAACCGAGCTGTCACTCCTCGCGGAGGCGTGAGAACTGGAGAACGTCTCCGACATGGCCACCCGCCGTAGGATTCAGAATCGCAATGCTCAACGGAATTTCCGTACTAGCCCCCGTGTTCCTGCCAGCCCCGTCGTATCAGGGCGCTTTTCCTACTGACTGAAGGACTTGTGTTTAACTAGGTGCTAGGCAGAAAGAGGCGCGAGAAGCCCAGCAGCTCGCTGCTTAATCCGACCCGACGCCCATCTCCAGTTTGGCTCAGCTGCAGGCCATCTCGACTTACCTATCAGATCCGGCGATTCTGGCGTCGCCGATTCCCCAGTGGGAGCAGCCATGTGACGGCAGTGGCTGGCCTCCGCAAGCGAGCCAGATGAAGTACGGCGTGGTCGCCGCGACCGTCGACGCCCGTGAGAAACCCCAGAGCGTGTCCCTGGCCCAGTCCCGCGCCAGCCCACGCAGTAGATCAGCAATCGTGCGGTCGCATTGTGGGAATAGGACGCGTGGCAGCAGCAGTCCCAGTGTCCCGACAGATCAAGGTAAGATCGCAGACGCCAACAGTACGGGGGGCACGGCGCTGCACCTGGCGGTGAGATGCGACCATAGCGAGATCGTACGGCTGCTCCTCGCGCATGAACGGCAGCAGTGCACGGTGCAGGACGACCGGGGTCAAACCGCGTTGCACATTGCCGCGCAGCGGGGGTGGAAGGAGATCTTGCTTGAGCTGTTGGCTACGGAGGCCCTGCAAGGTCCCGTGGTGACGAGGCTGGTTGACCTCCAGGATATGCAGGGCCAGACAGCTCTCGCCGCAGCCACCGAGCAAGGCCATGTAGCTATCGTGGAGGAATTGCTGCGTGCTGGGGCAAACCCGAACATCGAAGATCACACGGGGAAGACTCCGCTGCACGTGGCCACCCTCGGGGGAGACTTAATTCTAGTGGAGATGCTGCTGGAGGGAGGCGCAGACATATATATGGGCATGAGAACCTGAGGCCGTACATCTTGCCATTCCTCCGACTGCATGCATTCACACATGCCAATGCCGAGGCTTTCCTCCTCCTTCTTTGACACGTCATCTTGAGAACTGCAGGGTTAGGAAGACCCATGAGTCATATTGCTTCGTTAATACTAGACTGGTGTCAAACCCTAGGATCGTATAAGGACCCATATCCCTACAACCCTCGCGATACCCCATAAAGCAAGGAACGCCTATACTGATATCAATCCCATCACGAGACTTTGCTAGTGCGAACTATCACGTAGCCCATAGACTACCCATAAATACTACTCTATTAGGCTCAAGATATATACTAGGAAACATGGAGCTAGTAGAGAGAGAATTATCCTTTATAAGGTGTTGTTAGGTTACGTAACCCCTACCATTCAGACAGTAATCTACTGGGATTACGTTCCAATATATAAGTACCATAACCTATGGCCAAGCCTAACAATTTCTTTCTCATCAGGATTTGTCCTATGGAAGCACTGCGCAATCGCACGTAGACTATGTAACATCACGTATACAGACATCAGTCTGTAATCCCACAGCCACCCAGTTTCGGCCTCACCCGCATCCTGAGCGGGTGGCGGGCATCAAGCACTGGGGTGATTGGCTTACGTTCCATGACACCACTTAGCCTCAATTGCAGCAACTACTGCATGGTCACCTGCCTTATCACATTAAAGACGCACCCGTCAGCATGACGGCCCAACAACAAAGCAGAGATGCAGGAGGTAAACAGCGCTTGCCCGCCTTAACTCCGGCCGCAGTTCGGGCCTAACCAGTTCATATCGCCGACATCTCCCCATTATATTGCCAGACTTATACTTAACTACATTTTATTCTCTCCTCTTTTGTTCCACCCAGCTCAGATAGTGAGACCCCGTTCACGTCGATACAATTCTATACGAGAATCCGCCCAGTTGGCCTCATCATGTCAAACTTCACTCCGGCTGCTATTAAAAAGCGGGCGACACAGGGAGTATTCTTTAAATACCAGCTTTTTAACGAACCGCCCGTTACCTCGCGCCAGAAGGTCGATCTTATAGGGCAGACTATTATTGTCACCGGGGCCAATACCGGACTAGGCTTAGAATACAGCAAGTAGCTGCTGAAGCTGGGGCTGAGTCAGCTGATTATCGCAGTCCGTAGTATAGCTAAGGGGGAGGAGGCTAAGCAGCAGCTGCTGAACCAGTACCGCGGGCAGCGGAGCGATAACAGTAAAGTTAGGGTAGAGGTATGGCTGCTGGACTTGGCCAGCTATAAGTCGATTCTGGCCTTCGTGGAGCGCACCAAGATATTGGATCGGCTGGATGTGGTAGTTAACAACGCGGGGATTTTAAAATAAGTCTTTACACCCAACGTCTTTACAGGCTACGAGGAATCGGTCCAGATCAATTTTCTTTTTACCGCGCTGCTAATTCTTCTTCTTATCTCTGTACTACGGTCGAAGAACACCCCGCAACGGCCTGACCGTATTATTATTGTTAGCTCTGATACCTCTGTATAAACAAAGTTTAAGAAGCAAGACACCCGTCTTCTTCTGGCTGGCTTTAATAATAAGGTTCTTTTTTCTGAGGACTGCTACGCCACCTCTAAGTTTTTAAACCGGTTATTTATCTACGAACTTACCAAGCGCGTTCTCTTATTTGTTGTTGTTATTAATAGGCCTAATCCAGGCTTGTGTAAGTCGGGCCTTGTCTGCAAGTACTGCGGTATATTTATCGGCTTTATCTTTAGTATAATGGAGGCTATTCTTGCCCGGAAGCTTGCTGTCGGCGTCTGTGCCTTTACCGACGCCGCTGTTAACTACGGACCCGAGAGCCACGGCCAGTACATCGAGAATGGTAAACTTGCGGCGTAAGTAATTCAGTCCTGTCCCTCTTAGTCTAAGCAGGTTGTTGGCTAACCGGTATCTTTAGCTGGGCGCCTATCTTGTATAAATCCAAGGGCGAGAAGATTCGCAAGCAACTGTGGGAGGAGCTGATGGGTAAACTGGCATTTGCTAAGGTGGAAGACATCCTTAAAGGCATCAGCGCCTAGTTTACATTCCTTGCTTTGTCCCCTTTGTTTTACTTGCATTTTCTTCCTCATTGTTTTCTGACGTTCGCTCTGCCTTATGCTCTTGCTTCTCAATACAACCTTTGGATAAGTGGTAGAAAAGCAGTTGCGCGCCTAATCAAACGTGTAAATTACGCTTTTTCACCACGTTCACTTGGTGTCCAATTAAGGCAGCCTTCCCATAACCGCAATCCCGGGACACTGTGGTGTTTGGAAGAATGTTGCGTGCAGCACGCGACTGGCCGACAAAGGCCACCTATGGGAAAGATGCGCCCACGTAGACATCCTAACAGAGAGCCCTCTTGACCATGCGACCAAACATCCACCATGAGCACTTCTAGCATCTGAAGGCATCCTTAACTGACCTTTTTTATCCCCATGCACGGCACGAACAGGAAGATGTCTGAAAACCCCTCTGAGCTGCACGACAGCCCCGATACGCACTTGACCTTGTTAGACCTGGGAACTAGGCCACGAATCGGCACAAAGTAGGTTAGGATAACCAATAAGCTCACTGTAGAGGGGAAGGGTGGTTTCACCACGTTGGGGTAGAAAGGACTCCCGAGAAAGGCGAGGAATTAAGTAGGACTAGGGCCATAGGACTTGACAATGAAGACGAGGTGTAAAATACAAACAGTCAGACCCGGTGAGAGCCGCCGGGGAAGAGGATCCCACCCAAAGAGAAAGAACAAGCATTTACAGGAACAAGCCTGGTCCAAGGCGGTTTAATTACCTCAGTTATTTCTATAGCCAACCGGCTACCCTGCCTCATGCGGTTATTTCTATGACGACGAAAATGGAAACCGATCTTACAAGCAGCCTACCCAGGTACTATATCTGAATCGATTCAGGGGTTCTAATCCAGATCGCTAAACAGGCCACAAGTCGTAATGCCGAAGAGTGGCACGATTTAACCAAGCTGTAAAGAATCCGCCCCTCTACTGCACATCAAACTGCATCCACCGTAGCCTCTACCACGGGATCTCTTTGTCCTGCCTGCAAAACATCGATAAATTTCCCCGAGCTCGTCTCCCGTGTTGCCTGGTCAATCTACCATCGCGTTCAATCCGATCAGCACGGCGATTGACAGAACGATCTCCAAGACACTCACCACGCGTATGATGCTGGCCGCACTGTCAGCCACCGTCGTGGGGGCCTTCTCCATGCCCACTTGCCGTGCAATCCAATTGCCCGGAACGGTCTGGACATGCCTGCCGCCGTTGTCAGCTTCAGTATCCAGGGAGAGATGGTTTCCTTCGGTCACCCGGGCCGGGAGAGTGGTTGGGGACAAACCCGGGGTGGAGTGTCAAGGCAATTAGAAAGTCTTGACTGTGGTGTAGGGCACTAAAAGACGAGGGAATTGGTCAGTCAAGCCCTCACCCGAACTGTTCGTTCTCAACGGCGCGGAGGCAAACTCACTGGGTCAGCCAGTTCAAAGCGATCTTCGACACCCCATACGCGGGGACAATGAAGGAGCTCATCTCCCCCATCAACGCGAGTGAGGCGCTGTTGCTGGAGATCGACGCCCACTTGGGTGACGGAGCCGCCTGGAGCAGCGGCCGGAAGGTCTGAAACAGCAGTAGGGCCGACGCAGCGTTGGTGTGGAACGCGGTGAGCAAATCCCGGGGATGGACACCCTCCAGTGACACCACGGGCGGCGTGCCGCCAGCATTGGCGATGAAGATGTCGATGTGCTCGATCCCCGCGGCTCGGACTACGTCCAGTGCCTGTTTGGGATCCTTCACAGAGGTATTCTCGATCTGCACCAGCAGGACCTTGCTCCCCGAGGCTGTCTGGAGGGATTCCAGCTCCGCGGTCGAGGCAGCCAGATCACGCAAGCTGCCAATGACCAGGTGGTTGGGGCGCGCGAGGTAAGCCTCCACCAGACCGCGACCGATGCCTGCGGGAGTGTCTCAGTGAGGGAAGTTTCTGTAAGAGATACTGGTGGTTGGTGGGGGAGGGGGAATGTGTACGGTACCTTTACTGACACCTGTGATGAAGACGACGGTTGACTGACTCATTGTGATGATCCCGACTCAGCAGTAGCAGATTTGGCGAGATAGCGATTCATATTCATAGGCTCCAACAGATAGCGGACGTATCCCGCCCGGAATTTGCCCTCCGCATGTCCCTTAAAACAGTCTGACATGATTATAACGCTTCGCCCGAGTGGCTGAAGTCTGATATAAGCTTGGGCTGTAACTGATCTGCTAGTAGTGGAAATAATGACTGTCAGCTTAGCGTAAGCGTCATGAATGCCGTAAGCATGTAGAAGGGAAGCTCGTAACCGAGCTCCGTCGTCCTCCCGCGAACGGAACGAATGTGTTTAAACCTATGTCAAATTTATACTAGATGTACTCTCGGCTCTCAATAACTGCAGGTTAAGCTATTCTGATTGGATCGATTCTATTCTTATCTTATTCCCCCAACGCAGTAGTAACTACCTGTTCCTCGCAACGTCATGGTCCACTTTCTTTGTGCCACTGCATGCGCCCTATCCGTCCTCTCACAGCTAGGCACGGCGTGCACAGTGCGGACCTCCTCAGCGCCAAGCACTCTAGTCAATCGAGACTGGACGGCGGCTGAGATCGCTCCTCGACTGGGGCCCCTGCTGTCCGAGGGCTCCAGCATATTCGGTCCGACTGATTCCCGGTGGGCGAGCGCGACGGAGCGATACGACACCTACACTGAACCGCACGTTGAGGTAGTGGTTCAGCCAGGCCAGGAGAGCGATATCCCGATCATTGTAAGCACAACAGGCTCCGGAAGTGGTCCTTTGCTTGCTGATAGAAAGACTAGATTGAATTCGCCAACAACAATAGCATTTCCTTCTTGGCTGTGAACCGCGGCCATGGGATGACCACGACACAGTGGACATTTCATGGGATTAAAATTGACCTGTCTCTCCTGCGGAACCTGACTGTCTCGCCCGGGGGTCAGACGGCATGGATCCAGGGCGGAGGTTGGGCGTCCGAGGTCATCGGGGACCTCTGGGACCAGGGCTATGTGATGAGTATAGATTCCCCCTGCAAGAAGCCTGCTTGAGTTGGCACTAACAAGAGACTGCAGCGACCGGCAGCGCCGAATGCCCCGGGATTCTCGGGGTCGGCCTCGGGGGTGGCCACGGCCGCCTGGAGGGTATGTACGGGCTGATGAGCGACAACTTCGTAACCTTAAACGTGGTCCTGGCCAACGGCACCATGCTCAACGTTTCCAACACCTCCCACCCGGACCTGTTCTGGGCGATGAAGGGGGCGGGCCACAACTTTGGGGTCGTGACGAGCTTTGAGATCAAGATCTACCCCCGCCCGATGGAGAACTGGTACTATAAGATCAACACCTGGACCGAAGATCACCTGGAGACCGTCTTCACCGAGCTGGCTGCCTTCCATGCCAACGGCAACTACACCAGCGACATGGCGGTCAATTACGGCATGTACATGCTGGACACTAGCCTCAATGTGACAGATGTGAGTGTGAGATGCTGAGCGGTGCCCGGAGCGAGGACAAGCTGACCCCGAAGCAAAGCCAATCATCTGGTGGTCTTTCGTCTACGCTGGATCCCAGGCGGATGCGCAGCAGTACCTGGACCCCTTCGATGCCATCCCGGCTCTCACGGTCTCAGATGGCAGCGTCCCCTACAATCAGATCGCCGACAAGACCGGCACCGGCCTCACCAGCGGTCTCTGCGCCGACGGCTACGCACACGTGCACTACACCTCGGGCTTGCAGACCTGGAACGTCACAGCGCAGCGGAAGATCTATGACCTCTTCAAAAAAATGTCGAGCAATACCCAGTCTTCGCCGGCTCCGCGGTCGTCATGGAGGACTACGCGCACCAAGGCGTGGCCGCCGTTGATTCCGACAGTTCTGCCTTTCCCTGGCGTGACCGCTCCCTCCTCAAGTATGTCGTTTAGCTCGCTGTGCTCTTCAAACTACTGATCGCTCCCAGTTTCATCTCCATGACCTATGCCTCCAACGAGACTATCGATCAACCCGCATTGGATTGGGCCGCCCAGACCAAGGCTCTCTGGGAGGAAGGCGATCCCAGCCTACGGCCGAGTACGTACGTCAATTACGCCCATGGCGATGAGTCGCTGGAGTCCATGTACGGCTACGAGTCCTGGCGGCTGACTAGGCTGCGCGCTCTTAAGGCTCAGTTCGACCCCGAGAGTCGCTTCAACTACTACAACCCGATCACCACCACCAAGTCGGGTTAGTCCAGGGAGCTGACGGTCGTTGTGCGATTTTGTTTCACTGAAGAGACAGGATGGCTAGCGGCGGTCAACACGACTTACAGACTATACGCGAGAGAGTAGATACGATAATTACGGCCTAGCTCAATGTACAAAATGGGGACGAATACCGGTCCAAGCTACTGTAAGATAAGCACTAAGGCAGCACTCTTCCTAGGCACGGTCATCGGACAGTAAGCCCTAGGGGTTTTAAGACACTCGCAGCGATGGTCAGTATGGTATATAAGGAGGCAATGAGCCGAAGGCGCAGCACACCAAAATATTTGGTAATTCTTTACCCTTATTCATAATGCATCTTTTGAACCTGGCATCCGCCCTGATGGCTCTCGCGTCCACAACGCGAACAGCCTCGGCGTCGACTGCTGGAAAGCTCAATTTCTACACCCCTGCTTGGGCGGGCTGGGATGAGCATGTCGTGCGGTGGTCCAGCTACAAGGCCCCGACCTTCTCTGCCGTGTTCCTACCGGAGACCGAAGAAGAGTTGTCCGAGGGAGTAGGTCCCCCCCCCCCCCTTCCTTTTTCTTTCACCTTTCTTCTTCTATTTTTGATCTTCTGGGCGTCGATCTATATAGTATTAACTAGAAGCTGGGCGTCTAGATTGCGCATCTAGCGAAACATCGGATCCCTTACCTGGCCACCAAAATCGCCGGTCATGGCAACAGCCCGACCCTCGGAACCTATCAGGACGTCATCCAGGTTAACTTGAAACATTTCCGCAATATCACAATTAACCCTGAGAACACGGTGACGGTGGGAGGAGGGGCCAAGTGGGAGGACCTCATTCCGCGTCTTCGCAGTGCGGGGCGGGAACTGAGTGCGTGCCCTCCTATAGACAACCACCCATCCACCCTTATTCTATCGAAGCCCACGGTTTACCACAAGACACAGCTAACATGTCTCCTATAGCCGTGGGATCCTTCCCGTGCGTGGGCGTTCATGGGGTTATGCTCGGTGGAGGCATGGGCCGGCTGATGGGCACATACGGGTTGACGAGCGACGGCTTACTCCGCATGAAGGTGGCCCTGTGGAACGGCACCATCGTCGAGGCCTCAGACGAGGCACTCTCAGATCTCTTCTGGGCGATGCGGGGTGCTGGCCATAACTTCGGGGTGGCGATCGAGTCGACTCTGCAGACGTGGCCGGACCAGGGGGGGCTCCACTACAACGCGGATATGGTGTTCACGGATGAATCACTAGCCGGGGTCCTGACCGTGGCAAACCGTCTCATTCGCAAGGGCCTGGACCCAGCCGTAGGTCTGGTCATTGGCTATTTGTACAATCTGGAACTGGACAAGGTAGGTTTGGGCTTGTTCCACATCCGAGTGCACGATTGTTTCTCCACTAACCGGTCTGCAGCCGGTGCTCATGGTCAATATCGTCTACGCCCACGACGAGGAGGCCGGCCGTAAGTTGGTTGCCCAGTTTTCAAGCACGACCACGGAGACGGAGCGGCCGATCTCGCGCGTGTTCTTGAACGAGACGGTACTCACGTTCGCGGAGCTGGGGTCCGGGGACGCGCTGCCCAGCGTATGCCGGACGGACCAGTATCAAAACCTCTACACTGCCAGCAGTCCTACTACCTTTGACGTCGATGCGATGATCGAAGTATACGACTCCTACGGCCGGTTTCTGCGCGAGCATCCGGCCGCCAATGCCTCCATCCTCCTCTTCGAAACCACCAGCCGCCACCGCATCGACGCCTTTCCCGACGACCACACCGCGTACCCGCACCGTGGCCGGCTGGGCACCAACGCCATCATCCAGATGACCTGGAAGAATGACCGCATCTCGGCTGCGGTCGACCGCTGGGCTAAGGGGGCCCGTGACAGCCTCGCTGCCCCGGCAGTCTCAGGCGACCAGCGTCCCCACGTCTACATCAATTACGCCAATGCTGACGAGCCGCCAGCCGCGGTGTACAGCTACGACCCTATCCGGCAGGCCCGGCTATCAGCCCTCAAGCGAAAGTACGACCCCTACGGCTTCTTCAACGCGTATCATCCTATTCCGCTGCATCCGGGTCAGTGGAATTTGCTCCGGGAGGGTGGGTGGTGGTCGATCCCGCCCTTTCCCAGAGCTTGCCCCGGGCAATGAGCTCTTCGCGGATGCGAGCGTGGTCGCGGTGGTAGGCAAGGGGGAAGCTCGAGAGGTCCACAATTGGGGTGGTGCCTTCGTAGGGGCTGAGTGTGAACTCTTCCGTCTCGTACCCAAAGCCCTCGCCATCCCAGTCGACGTACTGGGCCGCGATCGCGAACACGCCGCTTCGCTTATCGTAGCTGCCGGATTGGAACCGGAACGCGCGCTGGCGCCCGTCGACCACCCTGATGATCGGAGCGCCGGGCTCGAAGATCGCCCACAGCAGATCGTGGGTGATCACCTGGTTCTTGACGAGGTCGTTCTTGCGCGCAATGGTCTCGCGAAGCTCCTCCTCGAGGATCCGGAACAGAAGCTCCACGTGGGCTTGGGTGGTGGGATCATCTTCGCGGGCCCGCGCCTGGCAGAACTCCTCCCATCGGTGGACGAACGGCTGGAACGGCTGGTGGAACTCGAGGCGGTCGAGGCTGGACGTGATCCCGGGATAGCCCGTCAGGAGGCGGGCCAGAAACCCCTTGAGGGGCTGGCTTTGGACGACCACGGAGTGGATCTTGAGGTTCCGCTTCCCGTCGTAGCATTTGACCTTCCGGACCAGCAGCACAAATCTGCCGGACAGGGACGTTTCCCCCGGATCGAGGAGGTCCGTGGGCGGCTCGCGGGTCCAGGAGGTGCGGCCCCTCTCGTCCGGGGCGGTTTGGTACAGCACGTGGGCCTCGCAGATGGAGCCAGGTTCCGCTGCTTCCTCGGTGGGTTCGAGCTTATCCATATCACCTAAGGAAGAAATAGAAATGCTTCAGCGGGCTTTGCAAGTTTCATGCTCAGGGGACTCCACGGATACTCATACCAGAGGGAAGAAGAGCCATTCTGGGCTGTGTTAGCGAAACGGGCGAGGCGTATGTCGGATAACGGGAATGGAGAAGTGAGCTGAGATTGAGATGGTGAGGTTGGCGGTTTATATGACCTTCATTAAACCCTGGATTGTATGACTGACTGATGACTGGCGCCAACGGCGGTATGAGCCAGGAACCTGCGCGGTTTGTCCGAGTGATTAGCCAATCCAGGCTCCCATTTCCATAATCTAGGTAGCCATCTAGGTAAGTTAGGCACCAGCAGGAGGCAGACCTTGGAAGCCTAGAATGGGGGGACAGTGGCGTCTACTAGGTACTAGGTAGACAGACTTCAGTGATCCAAGCGCCCAATAGAAGATAGAAGAAGCACTACTTACTGAGGTGTTCAGTGATGAAGGTGTGATGAATGCAGCTAGGTGAGGCTATCTGAGAGGAAGACCAAAAGGACTAAGCTAGGTGGGTATACTAGGGAGTAAGTGGGCGGTGAGTAGCCTGACTACTCTGCCACAGAGGGAGGGCTGAGAGGCAGATGAGAGGCAGATGTTTGCTTAGTGCGCGAGGCTACCTACCATCATAACACCAGTGAGTCATCGATGAGATGAGATGAGCAATTGAGCCTCGCAGGGTCTCGGTCTCGTCCCACGCCTGGATCGGTCTCGATATGTCCATGTCCACGGTTGTTGTTTGCGCTGGGCGCCACGCGTATCTCATATCCTTCATGCAAGAAAATACTGTACACAATTTCCATTACTATTGCTATGATTATGATGCACAACGTCATCCCTATCCTCAACTAACGACTACCACAACCAAGCCCAGCACCTAAGCACTCGCCTGCAGCAACCCCTGGGCAATCAACTCAGCCAACAGGTTACCGTCGTATTCCTCTGCAACAGAACAACGAAGGGGACGTCGACCTCGAAGGTCCGGAACACAAACGTCCGAAACTCGGCCGCCAGCATCGAGTCCAACCCAAAGTCGCCCAGGGGGCGATCTGGATCCAATTCCGTCTCCGGGAGGAGAATGAGGTTGGAGATCTTCTTCGACACCACCGCGCGCAGGGCAGGGAGCATCGACTTGGGGTCCTGCTGGTCGCGGAGCAGCATTGCGCGCGCGATGTCCGCGGGGAGATGCTGCGCCGCAACGGTGCTGTGCTGTGTCTCGCCCGCGGCGCGGCGACGGGCGAAGGATGCCGTGAACAGTGCCGCTCGTGGATCGGCGAAGACGTGGTTGTCGCCCTCGAAGCCTCGGTCGCGCTGCTCGTGCAGACCGATGAACTCGACTCCGGTGAGAAGGTGGCTGCCTGCCAGATGGTCGTAGCGGGAGTCCCACGTTGGGGGCCCTTGATTCACGAGCGCCAGGTTCATGATCTGGAGGAGCTCGTCTTCGTTGATGGGGTGGATGCCCTTGCGCTTCATCAGGGCCTCAATGTCCGGGTGTTCGTGCAGGTACCCGACTTCCGAGATCATGCCGTAGCCGATCGAGATGGCCGGTAGTCCGAGGTGGTTGCGGTACCGCGCGAACGCGTCTAGGAAGGCGTTGGCCGCGCAGTAGTTGCTTTCGGTCGCCGTGCCCACGGTGCCGGAGATGGAGGAGGTCATGACGAAAAAGTCCAGCTGGGAGTGGCTTCGCGACAACGCATGGTGAAGATTCCATGTGCCCTGCACTTTGGGCCCCAGGGTCGTGTGCCATGCACGGTGCGACATTTCACTCCAGAGAGCCTCGCTGAGCGCCATGGCGGCCTGGATGACGCCCCCGATGGGACAGTCTGCCGCGGCTGCGACGGCGCGTTCGACATCCTCGTACCGGCACACATCGCCCCGGATCACGGTGATGTGGGCTCCCTGGGCCCGGAGATCGTCGACCATGTTCTGTGCCTCGGGCTTGTCGGTACCGGATCGACCCATGAAGATGAAGCGGCGCGCCCCGCACGATATCATCCACTTGGACAGACTGCGACCGAGCCCGCCCAGGCACCCGATCATGAGGTAGCACTTGTGGGCACTGAAAACTGTTTCATACTTGGACGGGATCACCCTGATCTCGGTGTTCGGGTCCTGGAACGACACGGCCACCTTGCCCAGTCGCGTGCCCAGCGAGAAGTGCCTGAACGCATCGGTGATATCCGACGCATCAAAGGTCTTGATCGGGAAACAAGGTTCGCAGATCTTGGAACGCACCAGATCCAGACTCTCCGTCAGGAGGGCTTTCCAGAGTTGATGATGGGCGGACTTGGTGGAGAGATAGAGGTTGGACAGGTCGAAGGCCATGAAGGAGACGTTGCGGCCGAATGTGGACATGTCCAGGACCCCATGGTCGAGGATGTCACGTTTCCCAATTTCGACGAAGCGGCCAAAGTCGGCACAGGCTTCGAAGCTGCTGCGCAGGAGATCCCCGGTGAGCGAGTTCAAGACCACGTCAACTCCCTGACCAGACGTCGCTTCCATGATGGCAGGCAGGAAGGAGGAATTGCGCGAGCTGAAAATATGTGCGGGATCCAGACCGTACTTCTCAACCAGAAATGACTTCTTGGACTCATTCCCGACAGTGGCGAAAATCTATCGAGTGACTCAGTATGAATGACCCAAATAAATGACTACTGACTCTCCAGCGACCTTACCTTTGCTCCGAGGTGTTTCGCATATTGGATAGCCGCAAGTCCAACTCCTCCGGCAGCGGAATGAATGAGAACAGTCTTGCACCGAGTAAGCCCCAGATTATGCGAGATAAGCAAGATCGACAGCACTTACCTCTCCCGGCTGCAAATGCGCCCGGTACTTCAATCCATAAATGACAGTTGAGAAAACAATCGGAATCGTGGAGGTCGTCTGCACATGATGCGTGAGCCTTCTGCGTGCGTAATCAAGGGACAAGAAACACCTCACGTACCGTGAAATCCTCCTCCTTGCGCAACTTCGACACGGCCCAGTGTGGGAAGCGCTCGACGGTTGCAAAATGGCCGGGGGCCATTGCAACGACACGATCCCCGGTCTTGAACTCGGAAACATTGCCGCCTACCGCGGTAACAACACCGGCACATTCGCACGAACACGATGCATCTTTGGTGTCGACCTTGGCGCTGATAGCATACAGATCCTATGTTTCTCGTTACCGACCTCGTCTTTTGATATTGCCTTAACCAGCGGGTGCCTACCTTAGCGTTCATACCGACGCTTTTCACGCTAATTTCCACATAGTCCGGATGCAAGGCCGTTGGGTGATGCTCCTCCTGCACAAAGTGGATCGTGTCCATCTGCCCCGGGTCCTTGATACCCAATTTGCAGCCTCGAGCGGTTGATAGAGGGAGGTCAATGGTGTCCCTGTTCTGTTTGAGACGGAAGGTCTCGTTGAGGCGCTCGTCTGGCTCCCAGCGAGAGATATGGAGGACGCCGTCCCGTTGCGCGAATTCGAAGTCCGGTTCCGGGTCGTGGATCAGTCGGTCCAACACATGAACAACATTCCGTAGAGTGTCAGCAGTAGCAGCAGATGATGATGAGGTCGATGATGTCTCGCCGCCCACGTCGAGAACCGCGAATTGGAGTGAAGGCTGCTCGAGCATGAGCGCACGAGAGAGTCCCAAAACGGGCGCGAAATCGGGCTTTTCTCCCCTAATGAAACCGCCATTGACAATCCATACGATCTTCGCTACGCGATCGGTTATACTCTGGAACTGTGCCAGTTCATGCTCGTTGATCGTGGTCAGCAGAGGCTGCTGCTGCTCTAGAGTGGATACGACGAATGAACGGTCCGGAACGGTCACGAGGCTGACCTGGGACAAGCCAATGATGTTGACGACAGTTCCGAAATGTCCTTGTAGGATCTTTTGAAGCTGTAGATCCAGGGGTGTAATCTTGTCATCTCGGGTCACCTGTACCCTGGTTAGAAATCAGACGTGCTTGGGGGTAGTCAAATAAGATTGGAACTTACCACGATTGTCGGGGGTTTATCCGCCTTTGCCTTCCTAGCAAGGCTGCCGAAAGTCGCAACTGTGACAAGGGAGGGGGGTGTTCCTTTGATGATATTCGTCCAAGTTATAGCGTCACTGGGTGGTGCATCCCCTACCGCGATGACAGTTGCTCCTGGTGTAAGTCTGCTAGAAAGAGCCGGCGTCCAGCAATCAACCTACCACATATCAGTCTCCAGTCAAACTCG